TGCCCGTGTGATGAAAAGAAAAAACAGGCGATGGAGGGAAACCCAAAAGGCAAAATCCGCGGGAAGGGAAGGCGGTTCCAAGCGAGACTGCCATGCGCAGCGCGTGCCGTCCGGATTCTGCGGTCTGCGCGCAGCCTTCAGCTTGCTGGGCGAGCGCAGGGCCGGAGCGCAAGCGGCAGCCCGCCGGCGGGGAAGCGTGAGACAGCGCGGCCCAGCGTCCCGGCCGCCGGCGCGCCGGAAGAGGGACGCCCGGGCGACGTAAGCACCGCCCCGCTCCCCGTGTTTCCTCTTTCTCTTTGGTGGCTCGTGTATTTTCCGTATCCACAAGCTGAGCTTGGTTTGTTTGCTTTCTCTGTGAACCAAGCGAATGGAAAGCCGAGGCAGCAACTATGTATTAGATTCCTTCCTTGGAAAACAACACATTGGAAAATGACCGTGGACCGGTTTTCTGTAGACACCGAGCTACAGAACAATATAGTTAAGAAAAGTCCGAGGGCGGGCTCTGCAGTGTCTGCGGAGTGGGAATGCACGCCGCGTTCTCGTGGTGACAGCAGCGAGGACTAACGTTCTGCAGCGCCTGCGTGCTCGGCGCGGTAGGCGGCTCTTCGCCAGCATCGCAAGCAGACAGGGTCGTCAGCTTACAAAGAAAGGCTTCGCATTCGGCTCGCAGGTTCGGGGGTTCAGTCCCTGAGGAGTTGGCTTCTTTGTTTTGGGGTTGGGCTGAGGCAGGATATCATGGCCAGGAGAGAGAACTGCGCATCTCTTATCAGCCAGAAATTGGAAAGGAGAGAGAGGAAGAGGCCGGCGTGCCCCCGTGCGAGAAGACCTCCCCTTGGCCCTTGCTCTTCAGGTTTCCACCACCTCCCAGCAGCTGCGAGGTAGAGACCGAGCCTTAGCGTCCAGAACACTTCAGGTCCAACTACAGCACAGTGCTTCAGCCGGAAAGCTCCAGGTGGCCCTTGCTGCTGCGGGAAACTGCCCAGTGGTAGCCCCAGTAAGTGCCTGTGGCCTTGCCGGCAGCGGACGCTGGCGCCTAACGGCTTCAGGAAGTGATGCTCCCTGCTAAAGGTGGCTTTAGAACCCAAGATTTGCTACAGGACAGAGCTACTCAGCCGGAGTGCCAAAGGGGCCTAGGGCAATTAGCGGGACATCAGGGCAGTCAGTGGTCAGCTCAGGGCCTACAAGACTACTTTTGGTGCAGGAAGACCGAGAGCGACTTGAGGGTGACCCCTGGGCTCTAAAATAACAAGTCAGCCTGAGGAAAGACTGGCTTGGGATCTGCAGGTTGGTGCCCAGGACCTGGGAGGAGGGAGAGTCCTGCTTGGCCAGCCCCCTGCCCGCACACGCTGGTTAGGGGCCTCCAAACTCCCTGGAGACAGGACCCAGCGCCTCGCTGAGCACTCCCAGGCTCTCTGTGAGCGCCATCAATATTCCGCGTCGTGTTCTCCCATTGTTGCTGCTGTCGGGCTTCCTGGAAAACATTTGCGCAATAGCCAGAGAATCCCAGCAGGATCGTGCGGTCAGGCGCATAGAACGGCTGCTCTTTTTAATTTTAAAACTTGTCGTTAGTCAGTGTTTTGAGCCCACAGCGATCACCCCGGCTGCAGTGAGCCGGCGCGTGCGCAGACACGTCTGCATCCTGTTTTCACTGCTCCATCCTGCTCCCTCCGTCCCTCGGCCCCTGCTCTTTGTGGAAGATCTGTTCTGTTTTGCTCTTCATTGATACTTTGGGTTTCTGCTATAAGAGAAATTGGGTGATATTTACGTTTGTGTTTTTGATTTATTTCCCCCAACGTTATGGTCTCACAGTGCATCTATTTTTCTACAAATGATTCAAGCCTATCCTCATAGCATACCGTGAATGTATTTTACAAGTTTTTCCTCATAAGTATAATAATCCTTGAAAATGTAAGTTTGTAAAACTTGGATCCTGGTGAGAAGAGTACTGCACTAAGCACAGGCACAAAATCCAAGGAGGCCTCAACACACCCAGTCCTCAAAAGAATATTTTAATGCAATTTTTATTTTTAGTTATTATGATTATGATTATTATTATTATTTTGTATTTTCAGAGAAAGATCTCCAGGCTGTTCAGGGTCTCACTACTAGATTGGACTCGTAGTGATCCGCCTGTTTACAGCCTCCCAAGAGCTGGGATTACAGGCGAGCCTCCCCACGCGCAGCCTCAGTTGCCACCTCAGCACACTCTGGGGTGAGGGGGGAAGCTGGCACAGCAGGCTTGGGGATCGAACCCCTGACCCATACGTCTACTTGCAGGCACTTTAATCCGCTAAACTATTTGGCCGGTGCTTAATATAGTTTTTAAAAATCAATATTGACATAATTATTCATGAAGAACAAAACTTCCTAAAATTTTTACCTTCCTAATTTTAAACAAAAGCAGGCTGCTGGACGCGCAGCTGCTGTGCGGTACTGTGCTGCAGAGCGGTGTTCCTGCCCCACAGCACCCTCCGGCCGTCTTAGGGGCTGAGCTGCAGCGCAAATACATCGGGCTGTCCGGAGCCGGCAGTGTCTGTTTTCTCACTGGTGAGCTTCTGTGGCGTTTTCCCACCTGACTCACAAAATGGACAGGTATTTTGAAAAGTGTACGTAGGGGCATATATTCTCCTTTTTGTCGTAGATTCCAGCATGTCCCGGCAGGGGACTGTGCATCATTAGTGGCCTTTTCCTGAAGCTTAGCGGGGCACGAGAGCTTGCCCAAGCTCAGTGAGCTGGGTGGTCTGCGGATGGCTCATCCCAGCGCATCCCAAGTCCTCAGCCGGCCACGCCGCATGTGCCGTCGGTTGTGTCGCTAGAGCAGTTCTTCATGTTACACTGGAGGTTCTGGCTCTCACGTGTGCAGAACCATGGAAACAGCAGAGGGGACAAGGGCCAGAGATGAGGGAAGGAGGGGAGAGGAAAAGGACAGAGAAAGAATTAAGATGTGTCATGGGCATGTCCACCTCTTCATGGTGAGTTTGAGCACGGTGTGCTGTGAACAAATACTGATAAAAATAAAAATCTAAGAAGTGGGTACGTTGGTTAGAGGTTGCTGGTCTTGCCCTGGGAAGCGGATCAGGCCGCGGCTTCTGGAGGCTCATTGTTCCCCTGGCAAAAGTCCCTTCCCTTGCTGCACTGTGAAGAGTGCAGTTATGACCCAGCTGCGTAGATGTATGCGGTCGCACACACAGCACGACGTGGACGAGGTCGGCAGGGCCCCTGCTGGCTGCCCAGCACAGTTCTGCCTGGGTTCTAATTCTCTAATGCTGCTTCTGTGCTGCTCTGCTGCCCTGCTCCGGGAATAGCTAGAGCTGTGGGGATCCTGTGTGCTGACCTGAAGCGAGGCACTTCCGCAAGGGTCCTTCATGCCTCGTCCCATCCTGCCTTCTCATTGCCTATGCACAAGCCGTCTCTCCCACTCGAGTCATTTTCCTTTCAGTGCTTGGGCCTTGGTTAACCCCTTTACGCCTCTTTTTCCTTGAGAGATCTGCTCTCATGAGGTGCTCTTGACAAATTCAGTGCTTAATAAATGTTAATCAAAATAAGAAGCAGAATAAAGAAAGGTCTCACTTTCTCCTGCAAAGAGGAGAGCTAGGAGGCATGTAAACATTTACAGATCTGTTTAGAATTCTTAAACTCTAATGAGCTGGTCAACTATTACTTGTTATTATCATTTTATTATTAGCTGCTTCATGAATTACAGTTTCAGACCTCAGACTTTCTACCTCAGGTGACATGAAAAAACAATAGAGCAATTTGAAATTCAAAGCTAAAACTTGGCTTACTTGCTAAAAATGTAATCCAAGTGACAATCGCTTTCCACAAAGGCGCCTGTGTGTGAGAGGACGATTTACTGGGTGAATCACCCCAAATGTGTTACTGATCCCTTCAGACACTGCTTCGAGTTACTTCATAAAATTGCAGCATGGTTTCTAATTTTCTTTCCATTTGCTTGTAACACCTGGTTAAAGGTAAACTAGCTTGAGAGTTAATTCACTTAAAATGGAAGAACAAGATGTATTATTAACTCTGCATGGAGGGGCTTTGGGGGTTTCTCTTTTGTTTTTAAAAGCAAGGTTTTCTCTCACAGCATGCCTCGGTGGGAGCTGAGTTGCTTAGTAACCCCGAGCTGACTTGCGCTGTTGCTCCCCTGCGCCCAGAGGAGCCCGCACGTGAGCAAGAAGCCTGTCAGCAACTCTCCACTCGGGGGCTTCGCCTGGTGCAGAGAGCTCCGGGAGAGGATTCCAGGGTCCAGCCCCTGGGACTCCGGCTCACTTGAGTTTTCCCCCCAGCCTATCACATGTATATTTTTCACACATACAGTCATTTGTGTTCTGGAAATATAAAACGATTTAAGAAACAGAGGCCAAACTGATGGTAAGAAAGTCCTCTTCCACATTCAGTATCTCACAACGTGTGTGGTAAGCAACTGAGTGATTTATCTTATACTCCTGTGTTTGGTTCCCAAGTTGGGCGTCCCTTCCTTCAGATGGAATTCATCTGTTCTGCTCGCGGGATGCTACAAGCATAGCAAAGTCAAGAAAATTGGACTGGAAACACTTTTTCCCATTGTTTTGCTCTTTCTTGAAAATTTTTGTTCAGAATACTGAATCAAAAGTATCAAATATTAATAACTCAGGGATAAAAGATGAAAGTAGTGGAGGAGCATTGCAGATTTACTGAGGGTGATGCGCTGCGATTCACGGATACTCTTTCCATGGTCTCAGCGCCCATTGAATTTGCGCATGCGCATATGTGTTGGGAGGGGGTCCCATTGTTAGCTCAGTTTTGCAGATTAGAAGTTGCAGCCAAAGAGGCAGAGTAACCTTCAGGGTCACCAGTGAGGGACTTGAAGGGCTAGATCTGCAGTCTTAATAAGCCTGCTACACTATCTGCTGCAATTAGTTCTGCGGAACGGTAAGTAGTCTAAACGTACACAGTTAATGCGTACCATAGCATGCTCAAATATTAAAATCAAAACAATGCCCTTGGTCTTCTAGCAAGATACTCGGAATCAAAGTGTCTCTGGCAGGTGCTCATCTCAAGAGAACGCAATTGTACGGAAAAGTTAACGCCATCCCTCACCCCAACACAGGACCACTTTATGGCAGGGTTCCAAGCCATCGGAAATTTCCCCAGATGATTAATAAAGCACCACGTGTCCAGACAATATGTTTACTGGTTTCTCTGAGGGAGACGGGAGGACAGGAAGGGAAAGGCAAGAGAGGTGGCCCGAAAGCACCTGGGGGAAGAAGCCAGTCAGGCTTTCCTCTGCCTTGGGAAGGAGCTGGGCTCCGCTTTTGTTCTGGCTGCATCCTATTCTTCGCTCTCCTTGCTTCTCAGAACCTCCCTTGGGCAGAATGATAGCCACGCAGGCCAATTAGGGAGACTGGAAGGAGGAGGAGGGTGCCGCACAACCCCTCCATTGTCTGCGGGGAAGCCCTCCCGGCAGAAAGGTGGCTTTAATTGCGGCCCTCTTCTTTTCCTTCCCAGTGCCCTCTCAATCAAGCTCCTTGGCCGAAAGCTCGTGGGCTACCGGGTGCCAGATCAGCACTAATAAGCTCCCACCCAGGTGGTTTGAATTAATGTACAGACAAAACCTAAGTATTATGCTAGGATTAGCCAGCTCTTGTGTCCAAGCCCTGCATTTATAGCAGCGCCTCTCAAAGTGTGCGCCTTGGACCCCCTGCACTGAGGTCCTCTCACAGAGGGATAAAAGGAAAAGATGTCAGCACAGCACTTCAGCCCCCATCGCCCAGGGTGGCTCTGGGAATCCACGGATGTACCGTGATTCACGAGCTACGGCCTGCACCCTTTCACAGACACTGCCAGGCTCGCACGTGATACTCTCCACAGATTTGCTTTCCTGCATGCTCCTTCCTCTCCAATCAGCCTGAAAGTCTGTAGATCTTTTCATAAGGAGACACGGATAAACCAGATCCCTGCCGAAGAAGGCAGTGAAAAGAAAAATCATTGGAGACCAGAAGTCAGAGGTGGCCCCGAGGAGGACTGGCATGGCGGACCCAAGTCTTACCTGTGCCCAGGACTGGAGCAAGGCTGAGCTCAGCTCCCCCTAGCTTTGCTTCAGTCTCCTCACCTGTAAAGCAGAGCTAATCAAGTGCTCGCCTCACAGAGCTGTCATTACAGTTAAATGAATCCACACAAGTGAAGCGCTTGAGGGGCCTAGGCCTCAATAACAGCAGTTAGTCAACTAAACTATCATAGTAGTTACAAAGCAAGAATTCCAGAAACTTACATAAGTTACCAAGTTTTAGCTATAAAACTTGAGTATGGTTGTCATCCTTTGTTATCTTCCATAAAGATGCAAGAACAAGATGCAAGAACAGAAATGGCTATGAAGAAAAATGTAAATCTTCATCAGAGCTTTTCAAATTTAGCGCTATGACATTTTGGGGTTGCTAATCCTTTGTATGGAATCACAACCCTGTAAATTATAGGGTTTTTCCCGCATTACCCCTGGGCTCAGCCAGGGGCATCCTATCCCCTATTTGAGTAGAAACAGAAGTGTCTCCAGCTCTTGCCAAGTATTCCCAGGCAGAGGCACAAAGCACCCTGGACTCAGGATAGCCACACCTCTGTCAGTGCGCTGTTACAGGAATGCCCACAAGTAGTGTCCTAATAGCTCCTTTTGCTAAGGGAAGGGAAATAGTCAATCATAGCTCACAATTCTCGTATTCCAAACTGAGATTAAGTGGCCCACCGAAGGCCACTCAGGTAGCTCTCAGGAGGATTATGCTCTAAGTTCAGTTCTCCGTTCATTGATGTACTCCCCATCTATGTGCAAAAAAGTGGTGATGTGTTTGAACTAAAGTTCAGTGGGGCCCGATCATCTTTGATAGGTTACTTTGACAAATGTTATACAGTTAAAGTCTTGCTCTTCCCAGGTAGCCTCCAGTCTAAAACTTGCTCCACATACTGAGAGGGTGTATACGTGCCCAATACCCCAGGAACATGCTTGTCTATTCTTTCTCGGGACCTTCACCAAGCATCTACTATGTAGTAATTATTGTGCCAAGAATTGGAGAGTGCAAGCCAATTAAGATGGAGAACCACCCTTGCAGAGCTTTTGAGCTGGTTGGGAATCAGTTACACACACACACACGCACACACACACACACACACACACACGCACAAACACATACACACATGGCGATGGAGGTAAGCATGGAAAAGTATGGATGGGGGTGAAAGAAGGTAAATGCATTGTGGGAGATATAGGCATTGGGAAGGAATTAAATCAACTCTCCTGCAAAGAAAAGAGGATGTTTTTGCAGGGAAAACTTTCCACAGCTAATTCTAGGAATGCTGAACCTTTCAGAGAAGAGTGCCCAAACCACAGCCCCACTTATGTATGACAGAGTGCCGTGCTGCAATTAAACCTGAATACAAAGGCTTTAGTTTAGAAAAATCAATTTAAACATTAACATCTTTTGTCTTAAAAGAAAACTGAGGACTAGCCAGACAGCTCCGCAGATTAAAGCACCTGCCTAGGTAGAATGCAGGGACCAGATTCGATCCCAAGCATGTTGTACCAGCCCTGCCCTGAGGCATGCTGAGACAGCAACTAAGACTGGGCGTGGTGGCATACACCTGTAATCCTGGTGCTTGGAAGGCTAAAAACAGGAGGCTCACTTCAAGTCTGATCTGTGTAGTGAGACCCTATAGACCCTGTCC